TAATGGCAAACACGGCTGCAGTATGCATTAATCACAGGGCGTGCGCACGCGCTTAAACAAACACACATGGCTGGGGGACAGCGAGTTAAATTTGTTATGTCACGGGTAGGCAGATCGGCAAGAACATCAGAGAGAATTGCAGGTTTAGCCAGCATCCGGGCCAGGGATTAACGGTATCCCATGCATCCTGTCCCGTAACTTATCTTCGCTTTCTATGCCGCCTAGAATCCTCCTAATCTGATACGCTAACATTATGTAATGATATGTCCCACTGAATTACCACAACCCGTGAGACATGATACTATGGCGGTTGCATAGGAGATCGACGGTCGAGACGATGGACATAAGTAGTACAGACTTTGTGAAACCTAATTTGTTTCGTATCCTGCCCCAGTATCAACTGAGCATGGCTTGCGATGCCTGGGCCTACAAGATATCTCGAAGTCACGCATCAATTGTAATGGAAACTTGCAAGTTTCCCCTCTAAAAGCATCTGCAACCGGACATCTCAAACCCGTCTCATACGCCCGTACGGGCTGCCCGGTCATTGCCCGATCACGATTTTTATAACGCAGACAAGCCCCTCAACGGCCCTCAAACGAGCGCCCGGGCACTCCCGCCACGTCGGCCTGACAGCGTGGCCTCACACGGACTTGTCGGGAAACCCGACGGTCCGACGGGCGCTTCAACCGTCACCGCGGTGTGACCGCCGCGTGGCGCCGCTCCGGCTCGCCGCCCGAGCCCGTAGCCGGCTATTTAAGCCGGTCGACGCCCCAGCCCTAGCACATCCGCCTCTTCCCTCCCTCCACCGCCACTCGAGCCTAGCCAAGCCCCCGCGCCGCCGCTACTACATGATCCAACACCGTTTCTTCCTCCTTGGGCAGGTCCGGATCCATAGGGAGGCGAGGCTACCTCTGGAACCGGAGGAGGATTTCGAGGAGGTTGAGGAGGAGGTGCCGGGGGAGGAGGAAGAGGAGGAGGAGTAGGAGCCGACGGAGGAGAAGGAGGAGGAGGAGCAGGAGACGGCGGAGGAGTAGCAGGAGGCGCCATCGCTGGATGTGGGGGAGGAGGAGGCGCCGGCGATGGAGGAGGACGTGGGCGTGTTGCCGGAGCAGCACACTATCCTGGACTCCATCTGCTCGTAGTCAACTGCGGATGTCAGGCGTTGCCGTCGGCAACAGATGGAGGCGGCGCAGGCGGCTCCGGCAATCGTCGACAACGACGAAATTTTGAGTAGTATAGAATGTAGTATGTAGCTATATATTCTGCATGCTTTTGTTTGGATTAAGGGGATGAGTATGAGAGACTTGTATGTGAAGAAGAAAATATGAGAAGTACCCGGTCAGTGCCCGCGAACGCGCCCGGACGCGTCCGCTGGCGTTTGAGAGGCCAGATTTGCCAAGTCGGGCTGTAGATGCTCTAAGAGCATGGCTAATAAAATCGGCCGCTATTGGCTTTATACCGGTGCTATCGTCTCGGCAATAGCCTCTGTAAGATAAGTCGTGTAATAAGGCTGGCTGTATACGAGCTACTGGATGGCTAGAGTAATTAATGTTTACATGGATGACTAGAGTAATTAAATATTTAAGAATTTCGATTCATTACCTTCGTCCCCCTAATGCGGAGTGAAAATATGTAGACGAGCATTTAGAGAAACGATTGTGCAGTTGGAAAGGAAAGTTGCTCTCTGTTAGAGGACGACTGGCCTTGATCAACTCTGTTCTCACAAACATGGTTCTCTATATGCTTCCTTTTTTCCAACTCCCAAGAGGGGTCTTGCAAAGACTGGATTATTTTAGATCCGTATTCTTTTGGCATGAAGATAATGAAAATAAAAAATACAGACTGACAAAATGGAGCGTGGTTTGTAGGCCTAAAGACCAAGGTGGCCTTGGCATTCATGACCTGTAAGTCAAGAATGATGCCTTACTTAGTAAATGGTTGTTCAGACTTCTTACTGAGGATGGTGTTTGACAAACTCTGTTGTGCAACAAGTATCTATACCAAAATGATGTGTCTCGGGCCTACTGGAAGCCTGATGATTCACACTTTTGGGCAGGTCTAATGGTGGCAAAGAAACATCTTTTCTGCTTTTGATCTTTCGCGATTAAAGACGGGTCTGATATTCGTTTCTGGGAGGACATCTGGCTAGGCAATGCCAGTCTTCGGGAACAATATCCAGCTTCGCACCGCATTGTTCATGATAAGAATGAAACTCTTGCGCAGGTGCTCAGTTCCTTTCCACCAGATATTTCTTTCAGGCGGGATTTGATTGGCCCCCGTCTTGTGTCATGGCAACATCTTTTGTCCCGATTGGATACGATTAATCTGACACAAGGACGAGATGTGTTCCGCTTGAACCTCACTGCATCTGGGTCCTTTACAGTCGACTCAATGTACCGTGCGCTCACGCATTCGGAGTTTTCAGTGGATAATAGCAACAAAATCTAGAGATCGAAGATTCCACTGAAAGTTAAGATCTTCATGTGGTACCTTCGGAAGGGAGTGGTGCTACCAAAGATAACCTCGCCCGTCGCAACTGGCATGGAAGCAAGAAGTGTGGCTTTTGTACTGATGACGAGACAATCAGACACCTCTTTTTGCCATGCAAGTTTGCACGTTCTACGTGATCAAACACCCAAATAGTGTCTAATCTTTATTCACCCACAGGTGTTGCCAATATTTTTGGTCACTGGCTGGATGGTATTCCTTATAGATTCAAAACGCTAATAAGGATGGGAGCATATGCCTTATTATGGTCGCTTTAGCTATGTAGAAATGATCTGATTTTTAATGACAAAAACTCTTCTTCTTTGCAGGTTATTTTTCGTTGTACGCAATCGCTTCGTACGTGGTCTATGCTTCACCGTACAAAGTTCCAACCGCTATTCAAGACGGTGTGTATGTAATTGGAGCGAGTGGCCATGGAGGTTTTTTCCCAACATGGGCGGCAGCATAACCTCTGTATCAGCCCATCACATCCTTCAACATAGGCATAGTGACGGTTTTATTTGACTCTACTAGTGCCGATATGTCATCTTTTTATTTTCTTTCAGACTATTTGTGTTTGGTTGTGTGCATCCTATTTATGCAGAGGCCGGGTGTTACTCATCATGATTTGTATCTTCTTTTTGTTACATTTTGAGTTAATAAAGACGCCCTTTATCGAAAAAACATGCAAGGGGAGAAAAGAAAACACAGAGTTGATGGTGGGACAGAGGGAAACTAGACCAGCCGCGCTAGCGCTAGCTTCGGGCTGCAAGCGGGCGGAACTTCCTGTATACTGCACTGCAGCCGAGCAGCGATTGACGAAGTGCTAGCTTTTTTCTCTCTCCTGTCTTTACTCTCTTCCATCTCAGAAGTTTGCTGAGGTGGAATCGTTTGTAGCCTGCTAAGTAGGACTATTATACTTGCTCTAAGAGCAACTGTAGTAGTCACCAAAAAAATAGTCGCCGAAAGCTCCATGAGCAACTATTGTGGAGACTCGAGTGTTATAACATTAATGATAAAATCAAGGATTTGAATACACCAAGATTGTCTCATTTAGCGTTGCTTAAAGTCAGTTCAGATTATACTGCAATTACTACATATTTCAACTATGACTTACTACAAATGGACGTAAAAAAAGAAATTTCATGAGATGGAAATATAACAAAGAAAATATATATGATATATTCCAAGGTATTTTGTCGATCCAGGGGATGTTAGTAAGTGTGCAAAACTACAGAGGTCCAAGAATGGACTAAACCAAGCATAATGGAGTTAAAATCTTTGTTTGGATGAAATGGTCAAATAGTTTGGTTTCATAGAGGAAAGCGAAGATACTTGTGTGTACAAGAAATTAAGTGGGAGCGTAATAAATATTTCTAATACTTTGGGTGCATGATACATTGTTGGTTGAAAATAATATAATTTTCTTGACATGGATTAGGACTTCATTGAAAATAGTTTTTCGATCAAAGATTTCGGCTAGACATCCTTGGTATTAGGCATTGTAATCTATGAAGATAGTAGTGCCCAATAGGACTAAGCCAAAATTCATATTGACAAGATACTAAAAGTGGTTTGGCATGGAAAACATCAAGAGTTTCTTGTTGAGGTCACATGAAAAGAGGTCTTAGCAAGACTCGATGCTCTAAAACATTGATGAGCAAGATGCATGACTGAGATTTCACTCACACTTTTGTTTGGATTAATCATCTATTCCATGGTATTTAAAATAGCCAGATATGTCTAGTACTCTAAATAAGTTGCGAATAAGTTACTAAAGTGATCAAGGTATTGAACATAGGACAACAATAAAAATGTTGTTAAGTAAATAAAGTAGGATTAATGACATGTTTCTCGCACAAAGATATAATGAAGAGATGGTTGTAAGTAGTTACATGAATGATGTCTCATTATAAGAAGTTACATCTTTGTAGTCTTTGTCGGTGAGCCAAGCAATTTTCAATTTCAATTAAGGGTTTTGTGTAATACACTAAATGGTGGTGCAATGAGTTGAAATTATTCTGAAACGGGTTATTGTGGTGAATTCTATAACAATGTCTAATATATTGTCACTTGAGAAGCGACAATGGAGGGTGTTGGACCAGGTAAGTTCATTTATGAACTTGGTATGTTTTCAAGATGGCTTGTGCCAATGGAATACTATTGAGGATAGTGACTCCATAGATTAGTCTAAGGAATCAAAGGTCTACCAGTGATTCAAATATATACAAAGCCAAGACCACATAAATTGTAAAATTTGTGAAAGCATGAAGGCGCGTGGATATGCGAAGATACACACGAACCTGAAATCTGTTGGACGAAGTCTATACCACAAGCGAAGCATATTTTACACTGGTATGCCATAGGTGTAAAGTGCAATAGCATTGACTAGTTTAATGACTCTAGTGCAAGTGGGAGACTAATTTTTATGCAAGCGTTTCATTTGCTTCTCTTCAATGGAAGTTTCATTTTTCTAGAATGTATTAATGTTTGGCCTAATTCTTCTTCTGATGATCGATTCAACCTTTGATCAAAAGGATAGACCTTGGTTTTATTGCATCTCTTCGACAAGTTTAGTAATAAGCATAACGGCCCTATTGTTCCGATGGAGAGAACAACCTGTAATTAGCTTTTCGGAAAATTTCCAAACGAACAATTTCAACGAAATCTTTAAATTTCTCATTTCATTATGTTCAACTTTATGTATTCCTATATCATATTCATATTAACAACTACTCTAGGGGAATGTTTTTATGTGGTGCTAACGATTTAATAACTATCTTTATAGCTCCAGAATGTTTTAGTTTATGTTCCTACCTATTATCTGGATATACGAAGAGAGATCTTGGTCTAATGAGGCTACTATGAAATATTTACTCATGGGTGGGGTAAGGTCTTCTATTCTGGTTCATGGTTTCTCTTGGCTATATGGTTCATCTAGGGGAGATCGAGCTTGAAGAAAGTGTGAACGGTCTTATCAATACACAAATGTATAACTTTGGAAATATGCCAAGAGGCAATGACAAATTATTATTTATTTTCATGTTTGTAACTAATATTAATGTTCTATGCTGTAACTAGAACAATTCTCGAGTCTGCAATAACCACAAGGCTCGGAGGAAAACTCATATGCACTTGTGGAATAATAAATAGTAAATAGATTCCATGTCTCGCCTCTAATACTAGCTCAAGTGTTGCATGATATTTATGTTTTCCTCATCATGGGCATAAGTTAAGTGTTACAAAGGATGTCGGCAACTTTGATGTCATGATGTTAGAAGAACACTTTTGTTGAATTGATCCAAGTTGTGTGTTATATTAAGAGATCCTATAGTCACAAGTTTATAGTTTATAACATAGAGAAAGTTAATATATGCACAATTACTTAGACCATGAGAGTACCGAGTCACTCCATACTGGATGATGCACTTTTAGGTTCGTCAAACGTCAACCTTAATAGGGTGATCATAACAACATCTTGGAGGTTCATAGGAAAAGTATGACGAGGGACTAGATAGCGTGAGACTATGATTTGCTCCTCTGATGATGGAGAGATATTCTTAGGGGCCTCTCAGTGTGATGGTATCCATCATCGTCTTCTCGGATAAAACATGACTTGCTCACGGGGATGCCTGAGCTCAGGAACAAGAGAAGAGGACAAGCTGATAGCAAGAAAATTGGCATAGTGGTCATGTGTTGAGTCATGGGGATGCCGCTATATCACACCTTGGGTTTTGTAAAGTATCGCGAAGCAAAAGAAATAGCACACCGTAACGGTTCACTCAATAATCCTTCTTGTGGGTATAGGGGTCAATATGTACGTCCACGGTTCCTTTATTGATCATGGACCAGAAGGTGTTCCGGTCATGTCTATACTTTACCGAACATACAAGTCGCACACTTAATGTTTAGTGGGTTGTTAGACTAATAGGAGAAAGGAGAATGAGCACAGAAGAGTTTTAGATAGTTCCAAAAGTGTTCCGGATGTTCCCAAAAAGGTTCTGGGAGGTCCCGTAAGGGTCCTGAAAACTTTTGGGGGTGTTCAGAAGGTTCCCGAACCTTTCGGACAATTCTAGAGGGTTCCTGGTGCACAGTTGCCCTGGATAGGCCAAGTGGCAAGGTTCACAAGGCCTTAGGATGGTGCACAAAGGACTTCCTTGGGGCCAAGCAAGGAACACCAGGAGTCCCAGCATTTCTGGAAACGCCATGGCCGCCGGCATTGCTTATAAGAGTCCGAGGAGGACTCCTACTCGTGATCTGAACTGACTTGGGGGAGGCTCCATCCCAAACTTGCGACCCTAGGCTTCCGCATATAAATAGAGGGGCAAGGGCAACTCCTAGGAAACATTAAACCCCTTGGAGGTTGCCCCGTTGCTGCCCTGCACCCCATTTCTCTCTCGCTTCTAGTTGATCTAGACGCTGCTAGGCTGCTTCTCTCTCTAGTTTTCTCGGTAGATCTTTCGTTCTGGATGGCGAAGCTCTGCTAAACCACTACTTCGGTATGTGTGGATACTTACAAAGGAACTGTGCTTTCGGTGCTCGATCTACGTATTGGTTCAAGGAACAAAATTCTCGTGGCTGGGAAGTGTAACCTAGCAGCGGGAATCTGCATCACCTCACTTCAGCAACTCTTCTTCTGCTACAGTCTAGTTCTAACCCATATGCATCTTTATACTGTTCCTGGGAACTTGTTTCGTAGGGTCGTTTTTTTGTTTTCTACTATGTTTCATTACAATTAGATGAACACGATGGTGCTGGACATCAAGTGCATATTTCCGCCCACCAAAAATATTACTGATAAGCCTCAGACGTATCTATATTATTTGATTGTTTCATGCTATTATAGTGTCACTTTTAGATACTTTTTATAACAACTTATATTATTTTTGCACACTAACATATTAATTCATTTACTCTAGAAACCTCTACAAAGCGATTCGTTAAATCATATGGTCCAACCAATTTTTTAAGTAAAGTAGAATGAATGCCAACATGCAAATATATAGTATAATATAATTCATCTAATGCATAAATTAATCCATGAAGAATTCTGATTTGCTCTTTTTCTTTCTCCTACTAGGAATATTCACTTCAATAATGTTTAAATAAAAATGTGTTGAAAATAATCAAGTAGTCTAACATTCCTTAAAAGTTATGATTTAGGGCGCATGCATGTATAATTGTAACAATAAACGCCAAAATTGTATGACAAGGAAAGTCTAATATAAATTTTTTGTTGCAACATTATGTCGTTAATTTTTCTAAGTGTAATATATAACTATACTAATTTAAGCAATATGCTAGTGGAATGAGTTATAAAAAGGAAAAACTATAATTGATTTTGCTAATTGTTGTCTGAATTCATCTGAGACGCGTAGTCAATCTACCGAGTACCAAGCAATCACAAAAGCACAACACCGAGATTTGTTAACGAGGTTCACCATCATGGCTACAGGAGCTCCTTCCCATGACACCGCTACAATACCGTACCCTGGCTGCCATCTCCCCCTACGCGCCTGTGCTATTATGTTGGCATAGGTTACATCGTGGTTCTGCCATCTTATTATATAAGAGGCCTAGGATACAAGTGTCCTTGTGGGACATGACTACAAATCTTGTCTAAACACAATACAACTCAAAGTCCAACTGTAATCTATCTTATACAATAATATTCGACACAACTCTTAACAATTGTAATAGGAAATTCTATTAGTTGAAGAAGTATACTGATAGAACAAGTTATGAAGAATTATAAAATATAGTTAATTTTGCCAAGTGTAAGAGATAAACCTACTAATTAAGTTCATACATTGACTGAATGAGCCATAAAAAAATGGAAAGAAACTTTTGTCAAGCGTGATAAATAGACATACTGGCCAAAATTATAATTAAAATGATCAAATGGGTTATAACAAAATATGAAATGGTTTTTAAGTCTAACTTATGTTTCTACTAGTTACTCCTATCTTGTGCCGATTGACCAAGTTATAACAAAGTAATTTTTTTTGCTAAGTGTGCACCCATGTTCCCACGCGTTGCAGCTGTCCCACCTTGTATTTACTGTCATCCCACCTACCAAGTACTCTAGAAAGACCAATTATTCATTGCCCTCCTTCTATGGACAACATTGACATCTTCGAGGAATGCGAAGGCATCACTAGTAGGACAAATAAATAATGGAAATATGAAGAGGAAATGAGGAATAATATCCCCATCTCTCGCACAAACTCAGGGATAGGGCGGTGTGTCTCTACCGCCAATGACTTCTACGACCGCCCGCCACCTCCCGAGCTCCCTCTCAAAATGTTGTTTCTACGATCATAGTGGGACTATTAAAAATCCTTTTTACTGCAATTTACTCGTCCAAGGCCTGGCACCGAATTAACTTATGTCCTCTCTGAATCATTGCTAACATATTTGGTAATCGGTTGAAATGATTAATTTGAGGACTCTTATTCTGGCTGGGATGCAGTCCTATGTTGGTCACTTTGGCTTTAGAGGAACGGCGTCATTTTTTCATAAGAGGAAAATTAATTCTCCAATGCAACTTTACATTCTCCAATG